GTAAATTTAGTCAAAGAAATAGTAGCCATAAGGAAAATGAACAAGGGATTTTTTGTGGGTTCATGTGCTGCTGCCAGCGCACTGACTGCTTCATGTGTTCATCTATCGTGTGGATATGAATGAAGATGAAGTGAGTGAACGGCAAAAAGGATAAAAAAAGTTTTGATAAAATTGTTGAACAGCAAAATTTTGAGAGTCCAAAAAGAAGTTGATGGGGAAGTATGTTATTTAATGTGAACACGTGTGATTGATTGAGTGAGTCAGTGATTTGATTTGAGTAGAGTTAAGCGTAATAATAGTTCCGTGTCATTCCGTGAATAAAATCAATCATGAACACCAGCCGATGATCGGTCATATAATTCTTTTTGCACATCACGAAACGAGCACATAGACAGCAGCAGCAGACACACAGCAATGCATACAGAAGATGTCCTTACGGAACGGAACGCAATAAAACGAATGTTTTGTTTGTGTGATACATGGTAGTGTGTTGCTGACTGTTTTTTGTGATATTTGATGAATAAATCAATCATTTACCATTCGAGGAACTAAACTGAAGGGAATGATCAGGGTTACGGTATATTTATTGCATAGAACGAACAAGGAAGTGGCATCGCATCTCATCGATCAAGCAGTTGTCAGTCACTTACTGATTATTAGTGATTATGAATAGTATACAATGAATCTGTTGCGATTACTAGTATACCGAGAAAGTGTGTATAGCGGTATGGCAAATGAATATATTCAGCGAATGAATAGATCGATTGGAACTGAAACTGAATTATTCATTGACTGGTTTTGTGTGCGTAGGTGGGTGGATTGATTTGTTGTTTGTATGTGTTGTGGTTTTGAATTGAAGTTTTTGTTGAATGAGCGGCGGACTTGGGGTCAGTTCGGATCAATGAAATCAGATGAAGGCAAGTAGATCAGATAGTAGTTGGTGGGGGAGAGAGATTAGCCGACTACAAATCCGTAATTGTTAATGGTGCTGCCGTTGAAATTTTGTGGTGATAAAGTTAAGGGAACATGAGACTATATAGCTGCTAATAGATAGATAGATATGTGTGTGTGTGTGTTAAGCATGTAAATGTGTGTTGCACTTAGGCTATTAGAAGCAAGCAAGCATTATTCAATCATCTGTTTATGCAGATCATATAGAACTGAAAAAGTAATGAGTAGCAACTAAAGTTGCTTGATTTTTTAGTTCAGTATGCGATGACGAAGCAAGTGGACGGCATTACGGTGTTGTAGCGTGTTTCGGTTGCAAAGGCTTCTTCAGAAGAACGGTGCGTGTGATTTGTTGTTTGCATGAGTGGTTGGTTGATTCGATTCGCAATGAATTCAGGTCTTTTTTACAGGTTCGAGCCGGCAAACATTACATTTGCAGATTTGAGCAAAAGTGTAGAATTGATAAAGGTAAGTGAATTAATTCACTTGTTAATGGAATTATTAGACAATTTTTAGATAAACAATACAATGGCTGAAGTATAGCTAAAGTAGATACTACTACTTCACTGGCTACTAGCGAAATAATTAATCCACCATTTGGCTAAGTAACCAAGTGGTGAGCTAGTGCCCATCTCTGGATTGGTTGTTTTTTGAATGAATGAATTGATTGATTGATTGATTGATTGATTGATTGATTGGATTGCAGCTGGTCGAAATGTTTGCCGATCGTGTCGTTTCCAGAAATGCTTACAAGTTGGTATGGAACCCGATGGTGAGTACTAGAAACTGTTGATGTCGTCATCCATATAGAGAGAACGACTCAAACTGAGAGTGCGTGCATAAATCAAATATTGTAGGTGTATTTGAGTGGGTGAATGAAGCAATGTTCGTTCATCTGTTCAAAAAACTGAATAAGAAAGGAGAAATCAGAAGAGGATAAGCAATCAGATATGNTTTATGTAGTAGTAGTAGTATGGTATGTTGTTGGAATGTTATCGGATTAGGGGATGGGATGGGATGGGAAGGGAAGGTAGGTGTGGGTGGATGTATTGCTACTATAAAGCAGATGAGATGGGTGGTGGCTGCATAGATAAATTTTTTTGCACGATTGGAATAATGGATGGGGGTTAGTTATTTAGGTGTTTGGGTGTAGATAGTTTGTGGTTAGCAGTGAATAGATAGTTAGTTGAGTGAGTGATTGATTGGTAGGTATCAAATAGAGATTTATTTGTGAGCATAAAAAATGAAATAAAACAAGATGCGGCTTAGGCTTTCGAGTTTACTTTGAATATGTCTTTAGACGGGAAATGCCTTGCTTGCTTTACACATACTTGACTTGTTTGTATAGGAGCAGTAAAGTAAATGTTGTGATTGTTCAGCAATCCGGCCAGATCGTGACAAAACTGGTCGTCAGCGAAATCCACGTCGAGGTAGTAATCTTGTAAGCGTTGCAAATACGCTGGCCGCCTATGAGGAGAACGTCAATGTGACGACGACGGATAACAGTGATAGTAAAACAAAGCGGACTAGTGGCAGTGATAATAATAATGCCGTGTCAGAGTCAGGCGCAGGCGCAGGTGGATGTGCAGCAGCAAGCATAAGGGCCAAGAAAGGTGGCACTGGTTTTGGGCGAGCACTTGAGAGCACCCAACGAGAACGTTACAGTGAACAACAGTCGTCAGCATGCTCATCACCGGCATTGATAACGGCTGATAATCGTGATGAAAGTAACAGTACTACTAAATCATTATTGTATCAGCAGCAAATGTCAGAGATAGGAAGTGATGTGATGAGTGATGATGCAACCACCACTTCAATATCATCGTCTGATTCCGTTCAGTTGACGACGACGACGGCCACGGCCACGGCCACAATGCCGGCCTATCGAGCGATTATGAACGGTGATGAGTCGATTCTGCCGACTCTGTGCGAGATCGAACGTATCTGCAATCAGCTGCGTGATGCAAACCCACTGCAAGTGCAGCAAAAGCAAAAGCAAATTACTTTAGAAGACGCTGTTTTGAGGCCATCTCTAGTAACTGCACGATCTGCAGTAAGTGCTTATTTGATTAGCATTAATAGTAGTATTGTTGTTGTTATGATAAGGTTTGAATTTTAGCTATGTTTTGATGCGTTCCTTGGAATTGGGCACTGTAAAGATTGTTTGGAATGTATGAAACGATTGACTGTGTTGCTGCTGGACTATGTGAATACGTTAAAGCCAATTGCAGATCTAGTTTTGTCGGAAAAAGTAATTTTTATTTATTGTTTATTCGAGTTAGCAGCAGCCTAAGCCATCACATACTGGCAGGAGGCGTGCGTCATAGAAGCACCAACCCATTCATATGATTGGTTGTTTTCATTCGAGAATAGAAAGAATTAATTAATTTTCAGGTGAATATAATCCGACATTGTCTCACACAATTTATATTGCTAATAATATCATATGGAACGATTCGATTCACTGAAGATACGAATTTAATTTTGCTCTCGAATGGTCGCTATTTGCATCGAGATATCGTTGTGCAGTTGGTGAATAGTTGTGATTGTGGGGCGAGTAGTCGTTGTTGTGGTGCTGCTGATAGTGATAATAATAGTGCTGGTGATAATTATAATAATAATGATAATAATAATATGAAAGTGGGCGGAATGTCGATGTTGAATGCACGTATTAGGTGAGTTGTGCTTGCCTGACCTGGCCGATTTATTTATTTGATTGTTATTATTATTGTATAATACTATCTATTGTTGTTATTTATTAATGGAGGCATGAATATTATAATTAGGTAATACTATGAGTGTTAACGTAGTATTCGTTATTGCGAGTATTTATTATTGTTGTGAAAATAATTGTTACACATTTTAACGTAAATTTGACTTGATTAAGAACAATTAATTCTCAAATGGTTTTTGTTGAGTGCTGTAGTAAAGAATTGTTTGTGAGTTGTTTAGAGAGAAGGAGAGAATTAATTGGTTTAGTAAATTGTTAGAAAATTTATAGTTTAATGAAACGAAAAGTATTGGAAGAGGTGATAATGCCAATGCGTCGACTTGTGCTGAGTGACTATGAGATGGTGGCGTTGAAAGCGATCATTTGCTTGGACTCGAATGCGAGACGCATCAACAGGACGAGTGCTAACCTGCTCGATATCGCTAGAGAGTCGGTGCAGATGGCACTCTACAGTCATCTGCTTGGACGGTATTCACCACCTGAAGCACTCACCAGATTCGGCAATGTTTTATTGCTGCTTTCGAATATTTCGGTTGGAGCTTTATTTGTTTGTTTATTTATGAAGATGGTTGGGTAAAGATTGTAGTCTATGGCTTGTGTTCTTTCGTGAATGAGGTTGCTTTATCAGAGTTATCGTTGTTATTGTTATCTGTATTATTTTTGGCATTGTTAGTACTATTATTATTATTATTGTTACAATTATAAGAGTTGAAATATTGCAGCGAGCTAGTATGTCAATGATAGTGTTATTTCAAGTGATGCGTAAATCGTGGTCAGCATTCTCAAGCGAAAGTATTTTCAGTGAATATGAGGGGATTTCGTCGATTCTCGATGGTATTCTTTTCAATGATTTTGACGATGATGAACCTTAATGGTATTATTATTGTTATTTATTATTATTATTATTGTTATTGTTATTTATTATTATTATTGTTATAATGTGAATAGAGAACTACTCGTTGTTGTTGTTGTTGTTGTCGTAACACTGCCACAGTGACATTACATTGAGTGCATGATCTCTATTTTTACTTTTCATATCATTTGTCGTTGTTTATAGTGTGATTTTCATTGGAAATGTTGTTATTTTATTGTTGTTATATTTTACATTCATTATTATTATTATTAATGTTATTTTTGTGAAAAGTATTATTGTTGTGATTATTTGAATTGGTTGCATACATGAAAGAGTCTCCTCTCGGTTCACATAAATACAGAAAGTGCCTGATAAGTACATAATTAATTATTGAGTAGTAACAGTGTAATTGAGGTGTACAGGTATATATTAGGTTGGTTGGTAATTAGTTTGAGGAGAGGTGACTTAAGCTTAAGTCAAATTTACTTGTCAGTAAGTGAAAACATTCAATCACTGTAGTTCTGTATTATACATTTTTAATATATGCTTGGTGAAAATCTATTTTAAGCTTAGAAGCGAGTAAATTTTAGTGCTTAAGAAAAGATCTTTATACCTGTACATGGTTATTTGTTACTGGTAATCGTATTATTGTTGTTATTGTTTATGATGAGACATTTATTGTTTATGGTTGTTTCGGTATGATCTTTGTGCTAGTTGCTGATATTGGTGTTGTTATTATATGGTTTGCTTGTAAATATGTCTTTATTTATGTGTGTATCTATTGAATGGGTTGTCATTCATAATCCTGTTGTTTTAGTATGAATTATTGCATATTTGTGTATGGATTAAGATTATAATAATTATTGTTACTATACTATAAAACCACATACAACTACTATAAAAATGATGAGGAGTTTCAGTTGAGTGGTTTATTAAAATCAACTGATTTTGGCTCGTTTCTGTTTTGTTGTATTAATAGCATTGTAGTAGTGGCAGATGTTTTTTGAATTGTGTGCGTGTGTAGTGTAGCTTGTTGTGTTGTTATTGGTTTGTTGTTGTTTTTGTTGATTGATTGATCGTTTGAGTGATCGATGGATGGACGGCACGTTGTTTCAGTTGGTGTGAGGAGGTTCAAGCTCGATTATAGTTGATGGGATGTACCAGGCTGAGGTTCAAGTTTCAGGTGCGAGTTGGCTGGTTCAAGACCGATTCTGTGGTCTGTCAAGGTGGTAAGAGATCAGGTGCGAGTGGAGTGCTTCAAAGTAGAGGAGCATTTAATCGTGTTTAATCGCGAGTTTAAATGAATCGCCAGTCTGAGCAAACGACGACGAATAATGCTTTTGGTGGCCATAAATGGTTTGCAAGCTTAACCAGCAGATGCACTACCGAGAGCGATATGTGAAGTTGTTGTTGTTGGTGCTTGTGTTTATGTGCTTGCGCTGAATTCTACTTATCAGGCATGCTTTCGTATGCATTTTTATTCGCTTCTCGTTAAAATTCTGTTATTTCAATTCATTGTTGTTTGGAACTTTCCTCAAAAGTTTATGAGGCATATGGTGGTAATTTTTTTAATGAGGCGCATGGTGGTAATAGATGACTGAGAACGGTTGATATTATTTATTATTTATCACGTGCGCAGTAATAGGACGTTTCGGCTTTATGCCTTATCTTCAGGAACATCATTGGAACCACCGACTATTGTTGTTGTTGTGTTTGTTTTCATTTGCTTACCTTTAGAAATCTTCTGAAAGCGCTAGTGACTCTAATGCTTACGCTTACGCTTTTTTGTTTTGAAAAATATTTTTGGCCATAGCAATGCAGCCATAACGCTTCAGATCTAGGCGTCATATTAAAACTGTAGGTAGGTACTACTGGGGAAGATCTTCCGTCGGATGATGAAAATTTTCGGAATTCAAAGGACCATAACTCTTTTAAGATTTAGTAGTATTCTTTTGCACGCTTACACAGCAAGTCTTTTTTTTATATTTGAAATCTCCATATATCCAGCACACGTATGTCTATTCAGCTCTAGTGGTGTTGTCTTCTGTATTAGATGCTCTTTCACTCAACTCATCGCTTTCGATAAGTCTTAATCGCAATATCTTTTCTTCATCGTATGTAAGTAACGTGGCGTTTGATTTTACTCGTAGGATGGATAGAGCCTAACGGAGAGAGATTAGTAGACAGGATGTATGGATTATGGATGTACTTTTGATATGATGAGGATCAAACGAGAGGAAGGCAGGAAAGCAGAATGCAGAGGCAGGAAAGAGTTAGAAGATTTAAACAGCTTTACTAAAGCCGGCGGATTGAGCCGAACCAAATGAACTAACTGTGAACCATTTTGTGCCGGATCAAAATAAGGCTGCTCACTGAGCTAAACGTGAAATGAAATGAATCGATAGTATGCCGTCTCTGAAGCCTGCTGCTGCTGCTGCTGCTGCTGCTGCTGCTGCTGCTGCTTGTTGGCTTACTGCTTACGTTGTTGATTAAAGACTGAGTGGAGTGATGGATGGACGAATGTTTAGAAATGTACTTAAAATGAAAGTTTATTTACTTATTTTAGCGACTGCATCGTCGTTTTCTATTCTAGCATATTCATTGACAACGTCCATAGTGAACTACTGTTCAGAAATATTATTGATTAGTTTATTGATTCTGCTAATGAATTTGATTCGAGTAATAGCTACTACTAAGTTTGTTCTGTTTCGTTTACTGGAATGAAAATACAACTTTTGGTGGATTACAATTTGGATTCATTGTAAGTTATTATTTGTACACACACATATCTATTAGAGCGCGCAGATTGAGAACTGGAATATTTTTTTGTTTGGACATTACAATTTATGAAACAGTAGAAGAAGTTGTTGATAAGAAAAGTTTTAATTTGTGAGAATTTGATAATGAGATAGATATTCGGATAATAATTATGAGGCAGATAGATGTTTTTGGCATAACAAAAATCAGGTGGAGATATAGTTGGATTTGGTTGAATTACTTATTTGATTAGTTGTTTGTTATTGGTGGTGATGGTGTTTTGGCTTATTTGAACGCGGCCAGTTTACATGCATCCATCCATCCATCCGTCAGTAGATGACCTCTTTCTGTTCTCTTCTCATTTAACCCGTATATCCCGAAATTAGAGGTCATCATGGTTGGTGATGATTCATTGATTGACTCGTTGGTTGATTTGTCGTTGGTTCGTGTGTTCGTTGGTTCATTGGTGATGAATGTTGCTGAGTCGAATAGGAGGAAGCGAGAGTAGTGAGCAAAACGAGGTGATAGGTAGGCAGGTAGGTAGGTAGGTAGCAAACGACCTTGACAGGTAAGGGAAGGGAAGGGAATGAACAGTAGTATTAATAATAGTAATATGATTTGAAATGGTAAATGATTAGTTAGTTGTAAAAATAGAAATAAATGAGTTATTTTGATTTTTTGGAATGAGACGAGTGGAATTTACGAGCTGTATTGAAGGAAGAATGCTTGTTTGAAAGAAGAAGGCAGCAGCAGTAGGAAAGGGAGTGCTTGTGTTTTATGTGAATTTGTTTGTTTGAATTTCATGCAATCTGACGACATAAAACATTTTCTATGGTGATGATATCATCATGTGAAATGTATACATAATACTTAGATGATATGGTCGGGTCGTTGTGTTCGTTTAAAACTATCATTTGGGATTATTGTTGCTGGTTGATGTGTGAGTTGGTTGGTTTGGTATTTGGAAGGGATGTTAGTGGTTGGTTAGATGTACGGACGATTGCTTGCTTGGTGGGTTGGCTGCATAGAAACTGATTTTGATTTTGCGTTGTGTTGTGATGTGATGCTATGTGCTCGTAACGCCCTAAGTAGTCGAAGGAAACGAGTTGTTTGGAGGAATTTTTTCTTAATTTCATATTTGAAGTGAACACGTCAAATTTTGACTGGTTATGGGGTTGATTGACGGATTGATCTGAAATGATTGATTTTTGTGATTGCTGCTTGAAACGATGAAATAATTGTTCGTAAATGGATGATGTGATGTTCTCAAATTGATGTGTTCGTTGATTATTAGTGCAAATAATCGGTGACCTGAAAGGAAGTTAATTTCAGTTTCTTCGCGAACATCGCAGCATTGATTTGTTGGGGCGTTCGTTTGATTGTTGTTGTTGGTGGTGCAGCTGCTGATAATATCTGCACTGAACGAAGAATTGATTTGATTCAATAAGTGTTTCTGATCGATTCGATTCAATAATCTTCAATCAGTAATTTGATCAGACTATTCATCGATCCAGACTCCGTATTGTTATCATTATCACTTTGATACTGTGGCCAACAGCAGCAGCAAATCATTTGGTACGAATGCGACCAGTGACAGCAGCAACAAGAGCACTTATCGATGGCACTACTGAATCGTCTGAGTCATCTCTAGACGCATCCACAAGCTCAACTACTAATAACTTTCAGTTAGTTGATTCTCCATTGTATTCCGTCCGTCCTCTATGGAATTGATCATCTGAGAACACACAGTCAGTCTAATCATTCTACAGTTAATAGTAGTAGTAATAGAATTACAAGAGTAGTAATAATACTCTAGCACTGCAAAAACTACGAATGCAAGTTCAACTGGCAGCAGTATAAGTTGCGCTGGTGGTCGATTTGAAACGGCACGATCGCAGAGTGCCCCGAATGGAATTCCGTTGCTGCCAAGCAGTTGCTGCCCACCTCCGATCAGCTCAGTGCCAACGTCCACCACCTCAAACCACCCGAAATCACAACGCACTCTGTCAACTCAACAACCGAGGTTGTTATTGTTTGATTAGCTGCTGCTGTCTTATGTGTGTAACACTAAAATACTGCCGCATGAGTCAGCATCAAGTATTAGTTAGTGTTATTTGTTTAGTTGGTTCGCTGGACTACGTTCGAGAATCTCGCAGTTAAGTATGCCTGAATGGTTGAGTCAGTTGGGTATTGGTGTGTCATCATCAGCAGCAATGTCGAAGCAGCCATCAGCAAATAGTAATGATGCGAGTAATAGTAATGCCGCTAACAAATCTATCAACTCTCCTATTCGAACCAAATCTGCTGCTGTGACTTCAAAATCTGGCAAACTAGCAGCAAAAATATCAACTGATCAATCGACGTTCACAAAAAATGGTCAGAATTCAGTGGTGAAAAAGAATTCCTATCCGGTATGATTTATTCATTTATCCGGTGTTGTAAATAAACAAGCATTTAGCAGGCAGCAGCGAATCTGATGATTTATTTTTGAAATGTTCTCGTTATAGCGGTACGAATGAGTGTGCTGCAGAGAATGAATGTTTCTATAAATGTTGATATTGTGTAATGTTAAAAACTGGTTGTTGTTGTTGTTGGTGTTGGTGTTCTGTGTGCTGCTGGTGGTGATATTAGGCGGGGGAGTGCGATTAATTTGCTCGTTTCAATCGAACAACAGCATCGAAACAACGGCACTTTACTTGGTAGTAGTGATACTAGTCGAATGTTACTATCGACAGAATTCGATTCGATGTAATTCGCTCGGATTTTGCAGATTTTGGACGACGCTTATCGTTAGAAAGTTATTGGAACGTTCAGATTCCCACTGAACGCAAATTTCTTCGGATTACTGATTTCTATTATTAAGTCATTTGAAACTGGATGATACATTGACTATCCGTTTTTTTTTCAAAACAAATGCTTGTTATTTGTTCTAGTTATTATAATGTTGTTTGGCAAGCAAACGGATTTGGTTCGGTGTACGATAGAGAAATGAATTTGAAGGCATTAACACCGCTACTCGAGAATACGATGATCAGTGGAGTGGATTATGTGAATGAGTCGTATATGTTCCCAGTAGATTATCATTTTCATACGTTAAATGGTGGTGTGCCACCTGCGAATGCGGCTGCTGCTACTGCTACTGCTGCTGCTGGACTAGCACAACCAGAACTAGCTGCAATTATTCCGCTTGAGAATGCTGATGGAGGCAACAAGTGTGATGTGGACAGTTTCGCATGGGTATGGCAATTTTTAAAAGTTTAAGTTTAAGCATTCAGGATTGAGTTGGAAAAATATATACTTTGTGTATTAAGATGAAGATGAGCAAGCACGGTTTAATAAATGTGGTGAGTGTTAAGGATTGGACGTTGGATTCATCGTTATGGAATACGATAAACGGTGAATACGCGAACGATACACTTGTTGTACAGCATTTTGGACCACTAAAAAACCTGTTGAATTGCTGTCAGCATCCTGGGAAAGGACATAATTTTCAGTAGGTTTTTGTATGTACTACTAGCATTATATTAAGGATTGATTGAAACGTCAATAAATAAATCATTTTTAGATCAATGTCAATGGCACATCCAACGTGGTGTGACAAATGTGGTGATTTTATGTGGGGATTTTTAACGACTGCAGTGAAATGTGACAGTGAGTTGTGGTGTTTTGTGATTAGCATTAATCGCTGGCTATTGTTGCTTGTGAAGAGATAGGTTATAATTACAGGTTGTAATTACACGTGTCATGCGAGATGTCGTGCGTTGGTGACGTTGGATTGCAAGACGGTTGACAGTAGCTTAAAGCATTCTCCTGAAGAAGCAGCTGCAGCAGCAGTAGCTGTAGCAACAGACGTGCTCGAGTCGGCGACTGATTCGGCCGTAGCAATCACTGCGCCTGTTGTTAATCTCTATCCGGATATACGACTGATGGCGTTGAGAGATTCAGATATATCGTCTGCTGAACATAACACTAAGCCGACAGTGCTCGAAGCACTAATGGAAAGTTCAACGGTTAGTGGCTGAGAGATGAGTTAATTGAGCGAGTGTGGTGGTGATGTTTTAGAATGATGTTTGTTGGTTTTTGTTTTAGAAGACGACGACGACAGTGGAGGAGGAGGAAGAAGGCCACGAGAAAGAGAATGATATGACCACTGGATCGGTTCAAATTCATATGAATTTCACTCGACCGATTAATGTGGTGGCCGGTCAAACACCGCCGTCGTTTGTCGATATCGTTAACGGTTCAGGTCATTTCAGTAAATGCACTTAATGCACTCTATTCTCTTAAATCAACCAACATATTTATTTGGCTTAACTCGTGTGCGATACACGCAAATCATATTACTTATTGTATTGTTTTGAATAATCTCTTTTATTCATCAACCAACAACCAATCTACAGACACAGCAACAGCAAACACAATACGTACAATAACCACTTTCTTCCTTCCTCGCAATACCGTTAAAACGGTGAATATTAGCAGTCGAATGACTACCAGGTTATTACTATTACTATTATTATTATTGTTATTATTATTATTACTATTATTATTGTCATGTTATTATTATTCGTTGTTTAAAGCTAATAATAAAACGTAATATTACGAATCATATCAAATGATTGGTTGTGTTATTGTTACTATATAAATATTCAGTTAAAATATTCACTTCAGATAATAAAAGTGATGTAATATTTAGAGAAATGATCGTAATATTACTGCGTAAATTCCGAGTGGCGGATAACCCTCGTAAATTCGCTCTCTATGAATATACAGCCACGAGTACAAATGCGGTGGCTGCAGGTGATAATTCGGGTGCTGCTGATTATACTTGTGATAATTACAGATGTATGTTCTGTTGTTATTATTATCACTGGTGTTGCTTGCCTGTATTTTCGGTGAGAATTTATTTGTTCGATGTGTTCAGAAGAGATAAAATTTTAAGATAACTTTCAACGAGTTCCTGATGATGCCTATCCGTTACGTGTTGTGAATGAATGGAAGAGGAATGCCACGAACGGTCAACATAAGCATTTGGTGTTGCAAGAGAATGATACTGGTGATATCCTTGTAAGTTCGCTTGATTTTCATTGTTCAATTTCGTTTGGCTGTTCATTTTTAGCACTGAGAATGTCTATCGTCTAATTTACTAGGCATTAAAATATAATGTTGTGATTGATGTTGGCTGCTGACACGTTCGCCACGAAACAACGGTGACGAGTTGCCAACGGTGGTCAGAGAACACGTCATATGCAAAGCACTATAGAGAGACGTCATATAATAAAGAGATAGATGATCGGTTTGGCGTAGTCGCCGTAAACCGATATAGCAACATCATGTTTCAGTTGGATGTGTTGTTGTTCATATTGAATGTAAATTTAAAATGAGGAGACCGAGTTACTTGTCGAGGTTGATTCATGAAAATGGCGTGAATATAACTGTAAATATGGCTTTACTGGTGGTGATGGCGAGAGGGTTTTTTTATTGATATGTTCTGTATTGTATTTGTTTAGTGGGATATGTTCGAAGTACCAGAATTGGAGAATTTTTTGAAAATATTGGATGATGAAGAACGACAGTATTCGTTTCGAATACGCCAAAAATATGACACATACAGGTGATGAGTGAAAGTTGGCTTTTCGTTGAAATTTTTTTGTGAGCATTATTCTGGTGTTTTTGATTGTTTGGTTTCTCGTTTAGGTACTTTATTGATTAGTGAGCTATAGTTGATGTGTATGTAATTGATTATTGCTGCGTGCAT